ATAAAAAACCGTCCGAATACAAGCGGAAATCTATTTTATCAGCAAAAAAACGAATTATAGAGTCGGGTAACTTACAGGATATAAAATCAGATTGTACGATAAAGAAGATAAAGTCTGAAGCTGAATCACATTGGGATAGAAATGAAAATGATATGTTAGATTTGATTCAAATGCAAGAAGATCACGATGAATACATAAAACAGGTGTCTTTACCTTTTGATGTAAAGGTTTTCAGTAAAGAGCAATTCGAAGTTCTAGATAAAAGCGGCAGGAATGTTTTACCGGTAATTTTTTTTGACGCGACTGGCAGTATCGTTCGAAAGCCAACAACGAAAACAAAACGCGTTTATTTGTACTGCGCCGTTTTACCTATTTCTACCGGTCGTATATTTCCTATATTCGAAATGATTTCGGGTACTCATTTTTCTAAAACAATTTTTAAAATTTTTCACGACTTTCGAGTTTTCTGCGAAGAGCAAAATAAATGGCCAACCTTCAGAGCGATTGTCACAGATTTCAGCTTTGCTAATATACATGCCATTTGCAGGGCTTGTAATAAAACTAATTTGATGGAATTTCTTGATTTAACTTATAAAATTGCGTCCGATGAAGTTGATCATCCGAAAGATCTTGTAACAATACATTTATGTTGCGCACATCTCATGAAAAATTTCAGTAAAGATATTAATGATTGTTTTACGGATAATGAGGTGCGGGAATTCTATAAAGACATTATGGCATCGGTGATAAATATGGATTTTTTCAGTGATATTGAAGATTGCTTTCAAAGTTTGTGTGTATTGTTACTCAGCCCGGTTATGAATAAAATTGTCCGTGAACATTTAGATATTTTATTAAATTCAAAAAACGCTGATCCCATCGACCTTGATATAGATTTTCGCGAGTGTAATGGGGTTAGGGAAGACGTATATGAAACTGACGGAAAACGTGGATTGCATAAAACGAGTATTTTTTATATCCATTTCCATAAATTATACGAAAAAATCATCGAAATTCACGAATTTGCTTCTTATGAGGGGCCAACTGATAAATATTTCAGTGAAAAATTTTTGGACATAATACTATCAAAATATATACCATTTTGTTCGCTCTGGACTGGTGTAATTTTAAGAAAGAGGAGAACTGAGCTTCACTACAGTAACTCTTTTGTGGAAACTTATTTCGGTCATCTCAAAAATAATGTTTTGGACAGTAATGAAAATCTCAAATGCTCTAGATATCTGAGAAAGAGTCGGGAAAACGTACTTGCATTACATAAAGAGTTCATGTTTAACATTCCTAAAACGGGGTTAACTAAACAAAATAAAAAGAAAATCGATCCCATGAACGAACATACGGCTCAAGAAACGTGGAATAAAAAAGTTAGGAACGCGCCAAGTACGCATTTCACCGGAAATTTAAAAAAAAAGTTATGTTCAGTAAATGAAACGAAGAATAAGTGTAAAGAAACGGTTTCGATTCCGCACACAGGAACTTTAGATCAATTGAATGTTGAAAATAATAACATTGATAATAATAATGATGATGATGATAATAATAATTATAATAATAATGTGACATCGTTAGAGAAATGTTTATACTGCGGATACGGTCGTCTCGATTCAACTGTAGATTGGGTGGCTTGTGACTCTTGTCGACGTTGGATACCTGTAACATGTGATCCTTCGTATGGAGATAAAACCTACAGCGGTTCTTTTATATGCGAGTACTGTTTTCCCGAAAAAAAATCAAACGATGAAACAAAATTATATAAATGTATGTATTGAGGGAAGATTGGTTGAAATATCCACTTCCGAAAACTTTCATTTCAACTAATGGTTCAGAGAAATTCTAAAAACTTTTGAAACCGAAATTTTCTGATATAGATTTGACTATAATAGAAAGAGAATTGATACGGGGCGTTTCGCAAAAGAAAAAGAAATCTCTTCAGAACCTGCTAAATCAGCAGTTTGATAAGGATTGGGAGGAGTTACAGGAACTGCACTGGTACCGGGCATTACTGCACGGTCCTACTTCGAATGAGGAGGATCCTGAAGTTGATCAGGACGATGGAACATGTGACTGCCTTGAAGAGGAACCAGCTATCCACATTCAGTTTTCCTGAAAAACATTTTCTCACTTTTTCTCAGAATGTTTTTGTCGAGAATACAAATACTTATTTTTGGTTGTGTTGTTTTGTTTATTTTCGTAATCACATTATCCCAGACATTTAGGTAAAACTTTAACCCTATTTCAGAATCTAAAATTCATGCAAAAACAGATAAAAATCAGATTTCATCGATAATAAAAAAATGGATAAAAAATTTCATGTTAGCAAAACTTGAGACACGATTGTTGCCTACATTCTGACAAGAACATTAGTGGCCTTAAAAGCTTACCTGTAATGAAGTGCTTGCTACACACAGCCTGATATTTGAGCTTTGAGTCTGTAAGATCATCTCTCTTAATGGCTGCTAACCACCTTTCTCTTCGTTTTCTACCCAACTCATTTTTGTTCATCAAGAATTCATTCTTTTGAATAGCTGGCACTGCAGAAAAGCTAAATTGATCGCGGTTTGAATGACTTCCACAACCAACCACAATACAAGTTGTAGGCATTTTCTATCAAACGAAACAGTCAAAACACACAAAGAAAATCGAAGCTTTTATCCTTTACTAAACACTAACACCTTCAAAAGACACGAAAAACACACTTTTGTCGTAAAATCGAACAATATAACTTCCATATACAGCCACGGTCATATACCAATAAACGTTGTTTACTTTCATTGTTTGCTTTGGGACGCCATGTTGGAATTTATTTGACAGGGTGTTGGATTGCCTAATTGGTCGCAGTCAATTGGACGCGGCGACAATGGGGTTGTACACTCTAATCGAAATCACGCCACATACCTATTTAATATTGATCAGTCCGTGTGTGAATAGTATTTGGTGCTACCTGTCGTTATTTAAAATCATCTAAAATACGTTTTTTCTTTAATTGAAAATCAGAACCTCCGAAAAAAGCCAGGTTTCGTGACGTCACCAGCCTGCTGGCACAGAGAATAGCCATCGTTGCCAAATTTATAACCAGTAATTACCTTATGAGATTCAATATCACCAATGACAGAGTATTTACGTTCGCAATAGACAATGTGGCGACCTGGTTCCATAATCACATAATGAATAAATCGTGAAAATCATCCATATCTCAAAGTGGTCCAATAAAATTTCAAAAGAAGAAGAAGTCGACGAAGAAGAAAAACTGACTTTGGGTCTTTTGTTTTTCTTTTGACATAATGAATACTTATATACCTTGCAAGATGATGATTCAGTGTCAGTAATAATATCCTGATATTCCTTATAATGATCATGATTTTATTCAAACCCAAAACTTTTTTGTGGGTCTGGCAACAGCGCAATCGCCCAAATATCTGAAATATCAATAGAGAAGAAGAATTATTCTAAATAATTTTCAGAATATCTGATTCAGTTGTGCAATATGAGTAATAAGCTAGATTCGGGTTTTGTGAAAGCTTCATCTGGGAATTTACCCATTGTGGATAGTGAAATGATGGATGAATTTTATGCCGCACATATCGATTTCCTGAGTGCAGAAATGAGGAATCAGAAAACCAAACGGTATGTATACTCTTAGTTGTCATATTAATATTTATTCAGACAGGTAGATAAGTATTTTCTTCTTAGATTGTAGTGGAATCATCATGATGATGAAAATTAAGTTGTATTTTCCATAATATTGCAAGCTTATTGTACAGGTTTTTGAATTTTTTTCTGCATACTTTAAAAATCTGAATAAATTGTAGGTATATAACCAATTTTCATATTCTTGAATAAGTACCAAGTCAAGTCGTGCAGGAATTCAAGTATCTAATAGAAAGAAAATATTTTAAGGGCTGCCAGAGAATGTTATGGAGATAATGCAGTGGAATATGTTCAAGTGAAACGCAATGGATCTCAATGTGTAATGAAGGGAAACATCACACCAGAACATAAAATTCACAAGAAGGCATATGAGTTGATAGCTATAATAGATGAGGAAGAGAAAGTTGTATCAAAACCAAATTGTATGAGCTGTGCTGCTTCATTAGGTGAGTATGGAGATCAGTATATGTATCAATTTCTTTCATTATTTGGAGAGCTATCTAATCAAAAATGGACAGGTGTAATGGCAGCAAGATGATCTACATACACTTCATATGAGCGCACTAGCAGGAACATCACAAAGGGCAGGCAGTGTTATATTGATGTGTAGAAATTGTTTCTCAATACCAAGTGCATTATGATGAAATATGTTATTGGTGAATAAGCAAAATTTCCACACAAAGATTAACACGACACATTCTTGTTGAAAAGGATAAACAGATAACTGTTATACAGGGTGCATCTAAATAACACAAAAAAAAATGCAAGGGTTGATTCCTTGTGATATTCTAGTGAATAAAGTTCATTTAAACATATGTCTCAACTTGCTCCTTTTTGAGATACAGGATGTTGAAGTTGGAAGTATTGATTGTTTCTATTTATAACCCCCTTGATGTATAAGCTTTCATGGTGCCAAAGTTCAGTATGGTTGGAGACTGACAAAAAAAAGTTGTTATTTCAATAGTTCAATCTAATGAAAATTTGAAACTCAAAAAAACCAGTGGCGTACAATGGCATTCATCATAAATATTGATAGGAGCTGCTAAATATGGAGAAAAAAAATCTAGTGAGCTCACTAGAATTTTTCTCCATATTTAGCAGACAATTATTATTATCATCATTATTATTATCGACATTCAATCTTTTTCACAAAATATATGTTTTATTGCAATTTTATTTCAGTGTCATATTCAGTTTTGTGAACAAAGATCTAATTCTTCTGTTTCACTGCTGCCTACCTTTGTTTGGGAATTTTATAATTTAATAGCAACAACTTTTTATGATCTACTAGCGTTTATACAGTCACAGATCCACGACATCATGGAATATTGCTCCAATATGTGGGGATGAGCACCCAACCATATATGCTGATACTCTTAGATTATTTTCAGAAACGAGCCTTGGGAATAACGTAGAATAGTTGGCGACTCAACTCTTTTCTATGAATACTTCCATGGACAGCATTCATTAGAAACCTCGGCTAAATTGCCATCATCAGCAATACCAGTCAGACAAACTCAACAAGCTCAATCAGCATACATATTTGACGTCATCCTTGAGACCTGTGGGACAACCATAGACTCGTTTGTTCATCTTTCATCAATCTTCGGATTTCTTTACCTAAGGAAGTATTCCCAAGAACCTATATCCTCCAAAAGTTCTAAAAATTCAAAACTCCAATACACCATCTTTCCCTTGCTACCCAGAATGCATGATGTCCCATGAACACTTATCCCTTGCTACCTCAAGAAAGCTCCATGTTCCACAAACTACCCTTCCGTGCTCCCGAGAACTATGTTTCACGAATATAATAAGTTTTCCGTTCATGGGATTCGAAAGACAGCATAATAGTAGTAGTGTTTTATCAGGATCAAAAGTGGCAGCAGAGTCAATTTTGATCCTAATAAAACGTGCTATTTTTTCTGCAACCGAAATAATCAACGTCTAATTAATAAAATACAAGTGAAACAAATCATCATTGTAACTCACTTGAACAGTTCAACTTTAGCTCCTAGACACAGACCTACTTTTGGAACAAAAATTAACAACTTTTGAGTCGATTGCAAAAAAAAATTATTTCTGAGAAATTGTGTTGAATTGGGTATCGTAACAATTCATTACTGAGAATTTGTTGTGTTAAATCGAGTGTTCAAATGAAGAATTATTGATTTCATCACCATTAATAATTCAACTGAATTCAGAGAATGCTTTTAGTTACACTTGAAAAAATTACTGTCAAATTTGACCTTAGTAATAATTTTCATTCATTGTAAACCAGAGACATGCAAAATCACATCATGCTTCTGTTTCAGGTGGATGTAAACATGGTGTGGCATTTTTACTTTGGTTAGATCGTAGAAGTGAAGAACCGTCTGTAACCGAAGTAAAATGCTTCTGGAAAAAATCCAATTTGTCAAGGGTCACTGCTGCTGGAGAAGATATTAATGTGTTGTTGAAAACAAAGCATCCTGAGCTTGGTCCGAAAAACCCGACATTTTTAAAAGAAGTAATTTCATCTTTTCCAAATGCAACTGGTGGTTTATTTGACCTATACAAAGAACCAGAATTTTCCGAAACTTCTATATACCAAATCATGCTATTATTTAAAAGAGATTCCAAAGACCCCAAAACCAAAACAGGAGATACATTTCTGTCATTTATGAAATCGATTATGACAAGAAGTGCATGCGAAGATGCTGAAAAAAATTCAAAAAAACAGTATAAAAGTGAAAAGTGGTTTGATTTGAGATTTGGAAGAATAATTGCTTCCAATGTATATGAGGCAGCACGCTGCAAAACTTTCACAGGTTCATTAACAGAAAATATATTAGGGGCTTCACAACCATTAGAAACTGAGGCAGGGAAAAGGGGAATCCAGTTGGAGTCTTCAGTATTAGAAATTGTGAGGAAGACAACAAATCTAGTAATAGAAGAATCTGGATTGTTACTGTCACCAGAACATCCAATTTTTGGGGCAACGCCGGATGGAATCACAAAAGAGCATGTTATTGAGGTGAAATGTCCATTCAGAGAAAAATCTGTAGAAAGATACATATCTAATGGTATGGTGCAAAATAAGTATTACCACCAAATTCAAATGCAAATGTTGTTTTCCAAAAAACAAGAAGGATATTTTTGTGTTGCTTCTCCTCATTTTGAAGAGGATAAAGAAGTAACTATCACTGAAGTACAGTTTGATGAACAAAAAATATTAGAAATAATGGAGGCTGCCAAAATATTCTGGAATTCTGCTATATTTCCAATATTGTTCAAATAGTGGATGGATCTTGTGAATTAAAAAGAGGTTAGAACAACGTCATTTGGCACAGAGGCTGAAGAGTCAGGGGGAACTAGAACCACCTTATTCTAGTGAAGGCATGATACACCCCAACTTTAAAATGTCAAATGGCACTAAGTACCTCTTTTGTGATACCTGGAATGAAAAGGTTTCAATAAGAA